AGTGAGACTCTGTCTCAAAAAAAAAAAAAAAAAAATGCCAGGCATAAAAAACACACAAATTAAGAAATCGATGGGTAAGATTAACAATGGTTTAGACATGGATAAAAAGAGAATCAGTGGGTAACAAAATAAGTCAGAAGAAAATATCCAGAAAGTTAGCACATAACACAAAAATACAAAATACAAAACAGAGGGCAGGAGATATGAAAAATACAATAGGTAGGACTAACACAAATCAAAGTCTCAGAGAAATATGAGAGAAAAATGGCACAAAGCAGTATTTGAAATGATAATACCTGAAAACTTTCCACAACGAAAGAAAGACAGCAAGCCTTGACTAAAGATCAACTCTAAATCAAAGGGGTAAATAAAAATAAACACCAAGGCACATGAGTAAAACTATGGAAAACTAAAGGAAAGAAATAAAAATCTTAAAAAAAAAAATCAAAAGTCAAGTTATCAACAAAGGAACAATTGGATAAATAAATAAAGCCAGAAAGTATTTTTTAAGAGATTTTTTAAAAGTTTAAAGGGAACACCAAACTATTTTCTTCAGATAATTAGCAAAAATGATCTAAGAAGGAAGTTCTAAATTGAAGAAAAAAATATAGACTGGTAAACATACGGGTACTTGTAATGGATATTGATATAAAACAACAATAACGCCCTCTTTCATTTAAAATACGTATGACTGCTTACATTAAAAATCAAAACACTGTCTGGTAGAGTTTGTGATGTATGTAGCTTTAACACATTTATAATAAAGATTGGGGATGGAATAGAAGATACCTTTATGATTTTTTTGTACATTTTGTGTGATTCAACTTACTGGTATGAAAATTATAATCCCTAGAACAACCACTACATACATAAATATAAATATTTTTAAATACTAAAAGAGATATAGCCCAAAAAGGCAATTTAATACAATTAATTAAATATAAATTCAATACTAATCAGTTACCTTGCTCAATTGATTAAAATGCAGTAATAAAAAATACTCAAGCCAAAGGAGAAAGAGGGAACAGAGGGACAAGGGAAAAAATCAAGGTTAAGAAAGAACAGTAGGAGACTTCCACTTCTGTCCAAAGTGGAATAACAATGACCAAATTTATTTAGCCTTCTGCATGAAACAATTCAAACATCTCATGAACAAAATACTTGAGACAATGATTTATAAGACACTGGAAAGGACAACAAGCCTAAAAAGACAAGAAACAAACGCAGTGAGCCCTAGGTCTGCCCCAGATTACTGTCTGGAGATTTTTTCTGACAACAGCACAGGAAAACTCCCAGAGTCTAGGAGTTGGAGCTAAGATTCCGGTGAAACCAAGGCAGCAAAACTTAGCAGAAGAGTATTGAAAATAAGAGCTCTTCACCGAAAGAGAATCCTAGACATATGCAGAAGGTACCATTTGTGAATTCAGCAGACTACTGATCAGTGCATGTATGAGAAAATAAACTAAGATTGGGGAAAGATCCCCTCGAAAGGAACAGTGACCAGCAGCCAAAGAGCCAAAAACAGCGCCTGTTCCCACAAGCCAGACTGGAAAAACTCATAATTCAGACGGTAGAATACTCTAGAAGGTCCTGCCTCAGCAGTGGGGAATAATCATCCCTAGAAAAAACACTGTTCCAGACCCACTTGACAAGTCGTAAGAGCAGGACTTGAAAGGATCAAACTGTTTCCAAAGAGCTTAACTGTATCTCAGAACAAAATTCAAGAAGATTTATGGGAATGCAAAAATATCTAGATTTACACTCTGGGAGGCTGAGGCGGGAGGATTGCTCAAGGTCAGGAGTTCAAGACCAGCATGAGCAAGAGTGAGACCCCATCTCTACTAAAAACAGAAAGAAATTATCTGGACAACTAAAATTATATAGAAAGAAAAAAAAAAAGTTAGCCAGGCATGGTGGCGCATGCCTGTAGTCCCAGCTACTTAGGAGGCTGAGGCAGTGGGATCGCCTCAGCCCAGGAGTTTGAGGTTGCTGTGAGCTAGCCTGATGCCACCGCACTCTACCCCAGGCAACAGAGCAAGACTCTGTCTCCAAAAAAAAAAAAAGTAAAAAGAAAAAAAAAAATCTAGATTTACAACAGCAAAAATTGTGGAGCAGGCAGCTTACAAAGGCAGATGCCATCACAGAAACATCAAAAAAAAAATCAAGCAGGAATTGTCAATTTTATCAGAACTTTGGGAAACATGAAAAAATGCTTAACATCTCTAATCATCAGGGAAATGCAAATTACAAACCACAATGAGATATCACTTAATTCCAGTGAGACTGGCTTTTATCAAGAAGTTCCAAAACAAGAAATATTGGCATGGATACGGAGAGATAGGAGCACTCATACACTGCTGGTGGGACTGCAAACTAGTACAACCTCTATGGAAAGTAATATGGAGATACCTCGAAGAACTAAAAGTAGAACTACCATTTGATCCAGCAATCCCACTACCGGGAATCTACCCAAAGGAAAAAAAGTCACTCTATAATAAATATATCTGCACTTGAATGTTTATAGCAACACAATTCACAATAGCAAAGATGTGGAAACAACCCAAGTGCCCATCAATACATGAGTGGATTAATAAAATGTGGTATATGTATACCATGGAGTACCACTCAGCCACAAAAAACAACGGTGAACTAACACCCTTTATATTATCCTGGCTGGTGCTAGAGCCCGTTCTTCTAAGTAAATTATCACAAGAATGGAGAAACAAACATCACATATACTATCAAATTGGTACTAACTGATCAACACTTATGTGCACATATGGTAACATTCATCAGGTGTCAGGCAGATGGGCAGTGGGGGGAGGGGATGGATAAATGCACATTTAATGGGTGTGGTGCCCACTGTCTGGGGGACGGGCACACTTGCAGCTCCAACTTGGGCAGTGCAAAGGCAATACATGTAACCTAAACGTTTGTACCCCCGTAAAATTTTGAAATTTAAAAAAAAAAGGTTACTGCAACCAAGCAAAGACTGAGTCAAGGAAAAGACAACCTAAAAATGGAGGGAAATCTTTGGGAATTTTTACTTTCCTTTGACCCATGCCTGCCCTAGGTTTGGAGGTTCCAGTGTGGAGCCCTGGTTCCTGATTTCAGAAGGAGGAGAAAACACTTTGCAAAGAATTGTGTTTCTTTGTTCCAAAGTGGCTACTGAAGGACTGATGCTATGTGCTTGTCTTTCTTCCTTCTTGTA